GTCTCAGTGATCAGCCGTAAAACAGTGATTCTGTCCAAATTCCCTTTAAAATCTTAAATGATTCCCTTTGAGCTAAATTGACCTGTTTCCCTTACACAGGTATAACATAAGCATATTAAAAGTTAAGCCCTGCGAACATCTGATTTGTGTTTTTGTTCTACTTTTAGCACATAAGGTGATATTTTCAACCACCAGGCATACTGCACTTGGCAATCAACAAATTACTGCACAAGGGTGTGAGGTTATTTTTGTTGTATAACTATGCAATGTAGATATCTCAAATGGTATTGGTGCTTAAGCACAAGCGAACAGCAAACACCTGTTGAGGGCATACTGCCTCTAGTCAACCAGAACAGACACAGCTGCTAGTATTCTTTGAGTAGACTGACTGCTGTTTGCTAGTACATTCGGTGCATGCTCACAATGCACTACAAAACCAATAAAAGCATTTCAGTTGTGTGCTAATCGGCAAAATCTCTATGCATTTTTGCAAGCTGTCCTGTCATTATGAGCTTTCCATAATTTTGGCAGCGGTGATGATATTGAGGGCATTGAAGAGGACAAAACGCGGTCATGGTCTTCAGCCAAATGAGTTGATGGAGAGCAAAAATAAATCTATTCTGCAGGTGTGAACATGCACCGGCACTGGGGTGGAAATATGCTGGCTCATTCGAAGTTTATTTCAATTGAAAACCCAGTGATTTATTGTGCGTACCACACTAGCTTGACTCTTTACATGGCTAGCAGAATTCAGCCTAACTGTCTAATCCAAATGCTGTTCTGGTTTAGGGAAAACGCATATCCCAACAAAACCGCACTAGTTCTTCTTCCACCCAAGATATATAGAGCCCATCTGCCTCTGTGCCGTACACACCTGGAGGAAACATGCTGAGTTGCTGGCGGGGAGAGAAAAACGGCGTGCGCTTTGAGCTAATTCATCTATTAATTTGACTTTTTAGAGGATGAGGGATATACCGGGAATTAAACCCAGGCAGACTGCCATCGCTGGATGCGTCCCGTAACTTGCTTTACAATGCTCTAAACAATAAAATAGGTGATAAGTTACCTCAGCGTCGATAGCACGGACAGTGGCTGTTAAGCACATTGTCATGGCGGTGACTATAATGTCACAACTGACGCCCCTGGGCACTGGCTCATAATTCGCCATGTTAAGTGCAGTCACAAATGTAATAGCTCCGCAGTTTTTTGACCAATTAATTTTCTTTACTTTTCCAAGACCTTGCCAGTCATTTGTGATTACTAGATAAAGACTGTTATGATAAATCATTTTAGAGAGATTACCGGATTTATTTCATGTACTCAGATTTTTCAGGTAGCAGTGTTTTGGACTAACAGTAAATATTACTGATATTAAATGTCTGGTCAAGGTAACGCGAGTTGCTTTTATAAATACAGTGCTATGTCAAATAAGACCAATCTTCAATAAACAATTAAAGGAATAAGTATTAATTAGGGCTGCACAACAAATCATATCAATATTGTGATATCGCTTGAAAAAAAAAAAAAACATATTTGTAGAATTGTATTTTTACAGTTGTATTATAGAAATTATATGCATTACTATAATTTAAATAATAAATTTTTATTTTAAATTAATAGTAGTACAATATATTTCATTTTATTTAATAATTGCATTTAATAATTATTATTATTATTATTATTTAAAAAAAATTTACTCTATTTTGTACTTTTATTTAACAAGTGTGAACACCCCTTTTACTTGTTTGTTTGTTTGTTTGTTTGTTTTTCTTAAATTCGTTCAGTGGCCTGTAGCACGAAGCCGGTTTCAGTTTTTACCCAGGTAAGTTCACATTTAGTTTGAGCAAACTCTGAGTTTTCGGGCTGAAGAAGGTGGGTTGGTTTTAAGCGGGTTTCATCACCATGGTAACTTACGCTACATGGCTACCCTGCTACGGAGCAAGTTTTATTCTGAGTTAGAGATCGCAAACCAAAGCTGGACCAATCAGCTCTGAGCAAAGTACCATATATCTAACGCAATAAAGCCACCCCCCTTTATCTCTCGCTTAGAGACAAATCTTTTGCTGCTAAGTGTTTATTATATTAATAATTATAATTCATATAATTAATTATATGAGTTAACAATTAATATTAAACTTAGTATTTAAATTAATAGGCTATAACTACACTGAACAAAATTATAAACGCAACACTTTTGTTTTTACTCCCATTTTTCATGAGCTGAACTTTTTCTATGTACACAAAAGGCCTATTTCTCTCAAATATTCTTCACAAGTCTGTCTAAATCTGTGTTAGTGAGCTCTTCTCCTTTGCAGAGATAATCCATCCACCTCACAGGTGTGGCATATCAAGATGCTGATTACACAGCATGATTATTGCACAGGTGTGCCTTAGGCTGGCCACAGTAAAAGCCCACTCTAAAATGTGCAGTTTTACTGTATTGGGGGGTCCGAAAACCAGTCAGTATCTGGTGTGACCACCATTTGCCTCACGCAGTGCAACACATCTCCTTCGCATAGAGTTGATCAGGTTGTTGATTGTGGCCTGTGGAATGTTGGTCCACTCCTCTTCAGTGGCTGTGCGAAGTTGCTGGATATTGGCAGGAACTGGAACACGCTGTCGTATACGCCGATCCAGAGCATCCCAAACATGATCAATGGGTCACATGTCCGGCAAGTATGCTTTGTCCGGTGAATAAGCTTCCAGGAATTGTGTACAGATCCTTGCAACATGGGCCCAACATTATCATGCTGCAACATGAGGTGATGGTCGTGAATGAATGGCACAACAATGGGCCTCAGGATCTCGTCACGGTATCTCTGTGCATTCAAAATGCCATCAATAAAATGCACCTGTGTTGCAACAGCTCTGGTGGACATTCCTGCAGTCAACATGCCAATTGCACGCTCCCTCAAAACTTGTGACATCTGTGGCATTGTGCTGTCTGATAAAACTGCACATTTTAGAGTGGCCTTTTATTGTGGCCAGCCTAAGGCACACCTGTGCAATAATCATGCTGTCTAATCAGCATCTTGATATGCCACACCTGTGAGGTGGATGGATTATCTTGACAAAGCAGAAGTGCTCACTAACACAGATTTAGACAGATTTGTGAACAATATTTGAGAGAAATAGGCCTTTTGTGTACATAGAAAAAGTCTTAGATCAAACTTTCACTGCAGGAGTGTTTATTCCTACCTTGTAAATGTGTTTCAATTCATGGTATTTTTTCATAACAATCTCTTCAACTTCAACAGAGAAGTGAATTGCGCTGACTCTCGTGATAAGTCAATCAAACTGATGCTTTCTTTCCATGCTCCTTGTGATTGGCTGTTTGCAGCACGTGTCACACTTTCAGGTGCATGCGCCTCACAAACTCTGGATCACACCTGAGTTGACAGAGAACATTTATACAGAGTGTTGTGCAAAAGCTGATCCTGATCTAAACCGGGTTGGGTTTGTCTGGTTTTGTCAACTCAAAACTTACTCTGCAACTCTGAGTTTGTTCATCTCGCTTTATGTTACAGGCCACAGGTCTAAAAAGGATGGTTCACAAACAAACAAAAAAAATTATTTTACAGCTGTTTTTAAAAAATATTGTTATTTCCTATGCAGATGCACCCCCCTAAAAATCACCTCAATCATTTTAGGATGATTAATTATTTCCTGAAAAATGTTCATAATGCAGCATGTATTACAGAAAAATTAAACAATGTAAGTTTTTCCAATATTCTGCAGCCCTAGAAACAATTAATAAACAATGCTTCTGTAATATAGTCAATTCTTCTTAACTGTAGGCTGTTTACAGTAACTAACATAGCAAATTGCACATCAATATAGATTATGTGGGCACATGTATAGTCATTTTACAACAGCTTCTGAAGAGATTCTGGCACACAGAGCATGCAACTTTATCCTGAATGTGCCTTTCAACTATGGTTGCCCTTAGAATCTAAAATACCCATTTTCAGAAATTTAGATTTCCTCCTTTATGATTTTCAGGGCCATTAACACCTTACCTAACATTGCCTAAAGACAAATTACTTTGAGGCTACCTTTTGGTAGCTAGCAAGCCACTGTCTCATTCTTACAGACAAATAGAAGAGGACATTTCAATCTTCTCTGCCAAAACCCATTTTAGAGACTGTGGATGCCTCTGACAATGACTGATTGTCTATGGGGGCAAACCTGCAAACTTTGGTTAAGTGCGTCCACATTTATGGTTATGGGTTAAAAATGTAACCTCATGATGGATATTATTCCCCTCTATCACTCAAGTCAATATGGTTATGGCTGTCTGTGCGAAGACTGCAGGGAATCGAGAGAACAGATGCACTTGAGTGAAGGTCATGGTGAAAATCAGCTTCAAAATTTAGGTGGGAGAGGAAGCTGCAGTTCTGCCCATCGGCTACAATCAGGACAAGACTCGATCAAGCTACACGGTTTCTGTAGATGCCAGTGGACAGCGGTCACCTCAGCAGCACAGCATCTGTTCACAGCCTGGTCAGAGCACTCGCGCTGATTGAACGATTATGCTCTATGTGCCGTACGGCAAGATAGACAGACGCATCATGCACAAGGGACACGGTTTGAAATATTGATCACCCAGAGGAGCGCAATCTATTAGCTCAGGGAACCTTGGGATAATGGCATTCATTGTGAAATTAAAGGCTCAAATTTTATGAAGGATTTCATCCTAATAGAATTTGAGATTGCAAAAATCGAAATGCAGCTGCTTGAAACTTCCCCATACAAACTGAAAGTAAAGGTATTTTTCAATAAAATATCCATCTGAATGGCTCACTTATGTAGGGCAATTCAAGCAGTATCAATTTATGTAATTGACAGACCTTGTTGGACAATAAAAAAGAACACCATAACACATCTACTGTACACAAATCAGGCCTCTTTCACATATCATATTTTATGTTTAATTCTTTGTTTCAGCCAAGAAACATAAATATTGTCAATGTAACACAAGCTAATTTGAGGTCACTCACAGCTTTCAATAGCCAGGATGGTGATGTTGTGTACAGCATTGACTTCTCTGTCTAAAGGCTTAGCCGTGCTGATGACTCCTGTTGTTGACTCAATGTTGAAAAATCGCTCCAAGTCCGTGTTTCTGTCTATTGAATACCTGGAGAAAAAAGATTGAATGAATTTCAAGCTTTGACTTTTAAATGAATTCTATAGATATGACCTAAAGTCACAGCCCCAACAGCAATCATTATTTTCAGTGGCTCTTAGGCACAGTACTGCTTAATTATGAGCATTTGTCTTTCAGCACTAAACACCTGAGTCCCACAACTCATTTACAGTCAACATTTGCATCCACTCCCACATAAACAAATAAAATAATTTAATGCAATAATAATAGCACTAATGACTTGCATATGCATTATCTTAGGCCTGTTTTATATTAACATGTGTTTATGTGATTTGCTTGAAATCAGATAGCATAGCACTTGACCCTATTACATGTGTAATGTATTGTGTAAATACTCAAGACACACTGTGACTCATTGTCTTTATTCACATGCAACTATGTGAATAATATTATGTTCACTACTGTTTGATATCAGTAAGGTTTCATTTTTAATGGGGTTTTTTCAGCAAGGATGCATTTAATTCATCAAATGTGACAGTAAAGACACTTATGATGTTACAAAAGATTTCTGTTTCAAATAAAGGCTGTTTTTTTTCTCCTTTATTTCTCAGGATGCATCACATTTTCCACACAAATATTAAGCAGCAAAAACTGTTTTTGACATTGATAATAATAAGAAATGTTTCCTGAGCAGCAAATCGCCATTTTAGAAGGATCATGTGACAATGAAGACTGGAGTAATGGCCGCTGTGCCATAACACAAATAAATTACATTTTAAAATATGTTAAAAAATGTGTTTAAATTGTAACAATATTTCACAATATTATCAGTTTTATTGTATTTTTGACCAAATAAAGGCAGAGCTGGCGAGCATATAAGAGTCATCTTACAAAAACATAAAATCTTATGTGAGTTTTTGCAAGCCATTTTGCAGAGATAACTGTGGTCAGATTTCTATCCGTAGACATATTAGACTGCAAGGGGAGAATGCAATTCAGCTAAGGTCTGACTAGATATTATCTTGATACCAAAATCAGGTAATATTTTTTTATTAAAGTTTTAAAGCTTTAATTAAAAATTCTGTAGTCTTTATCAAGATTTAATCTTGCCTTTATAAAACCAGTATCACTATGGTGTAAAGTAATTCCATGAGGCCATGTCCTACCTAATGGGGCTATTGGTTGAGTCTGGGTCCAGAGCAGAGACGGTTCCTATGATGGTTCCCATTTTAGCAGCTTCAGAGACAACCATTTTGCTGAGCGGAGAGAAGATAGGAGGCTCATCTACATTCTCCACAGTCAGCCTCACCATCGCTGTATCACTGAACGGTCCTTGAGACAAGAACCGTGGGTCTATGTTCCTGTTGGATGCTTCAATTTTCAGAGTGTAGCTTGACTTTTTTTCAAAGTCGAGATTCTGAGGTGAAGAGCACAAAAGCAGCAAGGGAAAGTGGGGGGAAAAATTTAGAAACAGTTTTTAAATTATAAACAAGGACAGAGAATATGTGGTAAGCATCCAGGCAATTCATAAACAGAGTTCACATTTGAAATATAGCTGTGATGTGTGTACATATGGCCTATAATCCATCCAAGAACCCTTGATCCACTCCTTTTATTTCTCATATTTCATGTAAGTATTGTTATCGATTGACAGGACAGAAAAGAACAGTGTCAAAGCAGTACATTGATTTTAAGAAAGAGATACATGATGCTGAAAATGTCTTGTGGAATACTTTCTCATATAGTCATTTATCACTCCTGCCTGCTGTAATATGCAGTGCATTGAAAACTACCTTCCAAGCTTCCTTCATATCACTGACAAAACATAACTTCCCTGAGGGTGCAACAAAGCCAAATCCAGCACCTGTGAACGTTTAACTGTAGTTTTAAAATGAGAAGTCAGAGTCAGTTTATTGTCAAATCTATCCTGCATAGCTTCCCTGGAAACCACAATGCAAATATAAAACACTGTACTGCACATACAATGTACAGAGTTCAAAATGCAAGTTTTCAAACAGATTATTGATGTATTCATGTTTGTTGCATATTTAGTTGCAAGTTTTCTACAAATATTTCAGTCTATTTTCTCTGTATAAATGTCAAGTGGTGTAACCAAGTAAAAAGTAATAAAATACTTTCCATATAGCTTGAATACACTTGAGTGCACAAATCTGGTCAATACATTCTGAAACACTGTTTTATTCAAACTAAAAATATGTTTTTCAAGAAAAAAAAAAAAAATAATAATAATAATTTATATATATATATAGTATAATACGTTTTTAAATCATTAAGTTTTCTTGGGATTTTGGAGTTTATTCATATTTTAAATTGTATTCAATATTAATATTTAAATTAATTTTTACATATTTTTGCATATTTTTGCATATTTTTGAAGAAACAATATTAAATGAATTCCACCAAAATGAATATAAACACCCCCAAAATTCAAAATGTATTCTCTGTATGAATTTCTATTTCCATAACATATGATACATAAGCAAGGGGGATGGGTGGGAGTAAGGTGGGTCAAAGCAGTTGAGGAGCATGATCGCCGATGGGAAGAAACTGTTCTCAGGTCCAGTAGTTCAGGAGTGCATATACTCCTGAGGCTTCTCCCAGAAGGAAGAACGGCAGAAAAAGCTGAAGGCCAAAGTACTGTCCTTCATTCTGTTACTGACTTTCTTTAGACACTGCTTCAGGGGAAATAACATGCTGAGCAGTCTGCAGTGTAGGGGCGTCCAGTGAGAGGAAGAGCAGTTTTTCAAACACTGTTGATTTCCTGAAGTCAACAATTATCTCTTTTGTCTTGTTGACATTAAGAGATGGTTGTTGACTCTTCAATATTTTTCTAGATCTCTCATCTCCTCTCTGCATGCTATCTAATCATTGTTGTTGATGAGCCCTAGTACTGCAATGTCATCTCTAAAGTTGATGATATAGTTGTTGGGGTGCCTGGCAACCAGGCTGAGAGTCAGCAGAAAGAACAATAAAGGTCTGAGGACATAGCCCTGGGGGATACTGGTAGTCAGGGTGACAATTTGGGAGGCCTGGTCATGGATCCTGACTGCCTGAGGTATGTTTGTCAGGAAATCTGACAAACAGCTGTAATGTCTAGTTTTAAAGCAAAATACCTGCTATGCAATATCTGTAATCCAAAAATTTAAAAACTCAAGTCAATAAATAATTAATTGTAACATGAGTTGTATTTAAATTGAATAGTTTTGCCTTTAAGCAAAATGTCAGGAGTCAAGTGTAGATCTTTCAGTAATAAGGAAGAGCTTGTTTAGCCTGTGGTGGGATGAGCAGTGGAGTTTGTTAGTCACAGATGATCTGGTGGCCACAAGACCACAAGATCTGGAAACTATAGTTACAAAAATGCAACAGGACGCTAAAAATTAAGGTATGTTACTGTTGAGTTATTCAGCTTTCTTTTGCCCGACAGGCACAGAGTCAATGACTTTGACACAAACTCAAAGATGTTTTATATTAGAAGTGATCCCAGTGGTTGTTAAGTGTCTTCTATACACGTAGCCTCAGATTAACCTCTGACAGTATCTAAAGATACACGCTTTTTACATTTAGCACATTTTCTTATTGCGCCCCCTTTACAGGCATGAAAAATTTATCGCCTTCACTTATTTCCTGTCAGTAATGGAGCCGAAAGTACATATAAGGTTTGGGCTGTCTCTGGCCTACCTTCTGTAAAATTATGACTCCTTCCTGGGTATCTTTGTCTGGCACGACCCTGAACACCCCAAGGCCGTCGCCCTCTATAATTCTGTAGTCCATCTCAGCATTTGGTCCGATGTCAGAATCCAAGGCTTTTATCTTGGCCACCACTGATGCCACAGGCAGGGATTCAGGCACAGCAAACTGATAGGATTCTGCAAAAGAGGCCCGACAAACACACACACCCACACACAGTGGTTATTGATGATGCTATTTCTCTTTTTTCCTTCCTTATCACCCAGCTGTTAGGGCCAGGTCTGAACTAATAATGTTTCTCTCTGCTCCGTAGCAGGTAAGCCACTCTAGATATAGCAAGCACGAGGATAGTCTAAGCTCTACACACTCCCGGACACATACTGATTCCGCCAAAAGTATCATGCGGCTAAAAATAGGGACAGAAATAACTATGACAATTATCTAAAAAATATTATATTATAAAAGAAGATTGTTAGTTTCTATTCAAAAGATCATCTACACGATAATTACACAGCAACTACAGCGAGCACTTGATCTCTATAATACAAGATCAGCCTGAGTCATGAAAAATCTCAGATTGCTTGCATGCAAATTAAATGGGGAGGCAGCATGCATTAATGATGGATCGGGTCCACGTTTGTTTTATAGCCGGTAGAAGAATCATACTCCTTGAAAAACGGGGTGGGTTGTCGTTAACGTCCGTAAGTGTGACCGTCACCGATGTGGTGCCTGAGAGTCCTCCCATCTGACCAACCATGTCTTTGGCATGGATTACCAGCAGGTATTGATTCCGTGCTTCTCGATCCATGTTGGGCAGAGCCGTCCTCACAATGCCTGCACAGAAACGTTGGACTGTTTTAGTGAATGTCTTGTTGCCTAGTGTTGATTAAAATGTAAGAAATATGGGGGGTTGTTGATGCATGAGATGTACTGTGTAATGATAACATCCTCCTGGCCTGTAAAAGCTGTGAAAAAGCGTCTAGATTACAATATGGACTACTGCATTATAGGGAGATGGAGTATGCATCAATTAAAATAGGATTACCATTTAGTAATCTAAATAGCAAGGACCTTTTCCAGATTTGTTAGGCCATATCATAATGGATCTCTCATCAATGAGTCAAATTCACTGAGGCCAGTTGAGGACTGTAAATCAATTTCCTCTCCAAGTCATTGTTAGTTTTGGAATTATCATTGCTTGGCACACCTGAGAGTGATTAAATAGTACCTACTTCCTATTTGCGCACAGAAAGCTGCGATAAATCCTAATCAATAAGCGCTGCTATTTGCTATATCTGGCTTCATTTTCCTCCACATGTTGTGGTGTCTCTAAACTTAGCTGCACACTTTAAAAGAAAACGGAGAAAATGTTTAATCAAGCTTTGTAATTTACCCTGTTGATTGAGTCCATATGTGGAAATGACCTCAGTTACAGCTAGAGTGCTGATTACATTAAGGATTGCATTCCCTGTAATCAGTTGGTAATGTGTGCCAGTAACTTCATCACAAGTCCCATTCACTTTTTCTCTGTCTTTAAGTGAGTCAATCAAAATAGCAGTCTCTTGACGTTTCCATGTTTCCATTCCAGGATATGGTGGTTACCGTGTCGTAGCTTTGAAAAGACTTGTCGCTCAAGTGATATTGTGAAATTGTCCACTGTTTCCCTAAAGAGCTTGATTGGTAAGAATGACTCAAAATCTTGCTGCTGGATAACATTTTAGTGCTTAAATATTTTACTGACAATATTGCAAAAAAAATATTGTGTGTACCTGTCTTTGGTTCCACAGAGAAATAGGGTTGTCCTTCAAGGATGCTGTACACGACTCTGGCACTGTTTCCATATGTGGGGTCATCTGCGTCAGTCGCCTTAACCTCAACCACAGATGTGCCTGGAACAAATTATCCACGCAATTTGATCAAAATGGTACCAGACATACACTGGCATTGAGCCTCACTTGATTACAAAACTGAAATCCGATGTAGACTGAAAACATCAGAAAACATGAACAGGATCATGTAAACCAATAAAGAAACATTTGGATGCACATACGTAGATGTCCATTGTTCTGTTTCAGCAACATTTTTGAAAGAAGACTCTCCAAGCCTGCATTTATTTGATCAAAAATACAGTAAAAACAACAATATTGTGGAAATATTATTACAACTTCAAACAACTGTTTTCTATTTTTAATATATTATAAAATATAATTTATTCCTGTGATATGCATTAAAAGAGGCTGCTCGTGCCTCCCTTATCCATCTGACATGCTGTCAGTCACATAAACGAGGCATCTGCTGCTGATCGCTATAGCATACATGAAGTTCATTAGAGTGTTTTGTAAGTAATTACATTTAATAAAAGAGACAGTGGCTTCCCCAGTGACAACAACTTTCATTTCCATTGTGCGTTAATTTCTCCAGAAATTATGATTTCGTTCTCTTGAACACATGCGATGGAAACTCTGCTTTATCCATATATTATTTTCACAATTGTTTTTCACATTTTTCAAATGCAAATGTAACGTAACTCAGATAGAAACATATCTTGTTGGCTTCTGCAGTATTTTGTATTCTTGTGCCTGTTTTGATTACAGAGTACAAAGCTGGTGTTGCCTCAGTTCTCATTAAGCCATGCATCCTTGCAAAAAGCCCAGAAGGACAAAACAAATCTAATCAGAAGCCAAACACACAATTCTGTTTGTGGTCTGCACTTGCTTTTCGCAACATGTATACTATTGTTGAAAATTTTGGGGACGGCAGGATTTTTTTTTAAATTGTTTTTGAGTGTCTTATGCTGCATTTATTAGATCAAAAAAACAGTAAAACAGTAATGTTACAAAATATTGATACAGTTTCAAATATCTGTGTTATATTTTAATCTAAAAGAACTTTCAGTAGCCATTACTCAGTTTTCAGTGTCACCTGATCCTTCAGAAATAATTTGTATATGTTGATTTGTTGATAAGAAACATTTCTTATTATCAACACAGTTGAAAACAGTTGTACTGCTTAATGTTTTGCATGTATTCTTGTCTATTTCTTTTGAAGTCTTTGATGAATAGAAAGTTCAAAAGAACAGCATTTATTTGAAATAGATTTGTTTATTTATTTATTTTGTAAAAAATGTACAAATCTTTACTTTGTATGCATCATAGCTAAATAAAAGTAATAACTGCTTTGAAAAACTTAAACGGTAGTGTAGATTTATTACTTCATCATTTATTCTGTAGAACTGGAGCACAAAGGGAAGTTTAGTGCTGCTTTACTGGCTTACTGATATTTCCCAGATTTGATTTAAACTGTAAAAATGGCTAATGGAAAGTGCCAGGCCTTCATTTGAGCACAATTTACGGGCCGCTCCAGACTGCGGTTTTCCTCAGAAATGCAGATTATCATTAAATGCGTTTGCTTGTAAAAAGCAAAAAAAAAAAAAAAGCAAAGGAGACATTTGGGGACAGGCCCAGATGTTGTCATATTGGTAACCTAAGCATCTGGAGGCACAGCTGAGTGTACAAAAACACAGCACCATGGTAACACCTCACCACAGGAACCGAGGCCAAATGACTGTTACTCTTTATCTGATGGTGTGATGTGATTTCATTTCTTATAGGTAACCTTGTACCTCTGCAGAATCATTTCAGGCACTTTATATTCAACAGGCCGGTACATTTATAGCCAGTTAAGGACACCGGCATATGGTCAGCCCTTAAATACACATCATAGCGAAACCGCAATGTGTGAAAGTGAGTGGATGAGAGTATAAGGCATATGTTGTGAATTTCCATTTGGCCTCATGCTGACGTCTGGCTTGAGGGAGAGGTGTCTGGGTAAGGTTGGGGTCCTCACACTTGCAAACAATCTCCTGTTTCTTAATTACTAAATTAAATTAATAATTTTCACGTTAATCAAATCCATTCATCACCGGTTGACTGCTAATGAATTTAAATGGATCTATAAAGCAGTCATTGAGGACAAGGGTCGCTTGCATTCACAGAGGCTAATGGCTTTGTTCACGCCGTTGGACAGACAGTGGCAGCCAGCATGTTAATTGCTCTTATAAAAAAGCATGTCAATGCTTGCATGATTGTCAGCTACTACACTCTGCGTAATCGAACTGACAAACAAGTGCCCTGTACCGGGTGCATTCATTATGTATATTACTGTTTTTAGGTGATCCTCAGCTCACACTCAATACCTAAACAAATTCTTGACACAATTACCAATAATCATTCTGAAATTGGATGTCAAAATATCTGTTATGGATGCCCCAATATTTAAACCCTGGCCGATTTGAAAAGCTGATATTTGTTTAATATTTATAACTGATTACTGATAAATGGTATACTATTTTGTCCATATATATATATATATATATATATATATATATATATATATAGATTAGGGCTGCACGATAAATCACAATTTACCAGCATTTACTACACAGAGCCGTTGTTCACTGACGAGCTGCGCAAAACCACGATCATATTTTGTGCAGCTCCATGTGAATAAATGCTGCTCCATGTGAAAGTGCGCAGGTGATGGAGATTTACTGCTGATTACAGAACCGGCTTTACTGACAAGATGTGCATTAAATATCGCATGTGATTTATCGTGCAGCCTGTAGTGTCTTGCCTTAATTTATTAGTGTTTTTCAAAATAAACTTTTTTTTAGATTTACATTACCTTTGCCATCATAACGCTCACTTAAACAAAATGAGCATGTGCAATTGAATGTCCACAATCCACCAATACTAATAAATCTAACATCCCTCTTTGGTGATTGGTTTGGTATGTACAAATCCAAGGCACTTACCGACAGGAGACATTTCGGGTACTTGAGCATTGTAAGGGCCATCCAGGAACTTGGGCTCATTGTCATTGATATCCTGCACTTTGATAACAAATTCAGACTCTGGTTCAACTGGCAGGTTGGTGGAACGGTCTTGGGCCTGAGCTCGCAGCGTGTAGTAGGCCTGTTCCTCCCGGTCCAGGCGCTTCGTGGCATGAATGTCGCCTGTGTTCTCATCAATGGTGAAAATAGAGGTTGCACCTTCACCAGTGAGCACGTATTTTACTTTGCCCTCACCTTTGTCCACATCCGAATGAAGCTACAGGAAAAGAAGAAATGAAAAAAAAAAGTAATTAATATCTATTATCATTGTAACAGTTGTCTAGTTAGCATTGTAATTAATGAACAATGTCAGTAATTGTGTTTACTCGTGAGAAAGTACTTCTGCAATGTTTTAAATAATAAATGGGGATATACCATCTCCAGCACATTTGTGCAAGTCAACAAAAAAGAATGGACTGAATAAATGTCAAATCTCACAAGTTATTCTTCCTCACACATCTCAGAACACATGGATGGATTTTTAAAAAATAAAACATTTTTCCTTGTTATACTGAATATGGCTTGAGGTGCTGTTGCTGTGAGTTACCTGCGAGTTAAAAAAAAAAAAAAAACATGAACGGCAGTGGGGAAATCTCCGAAATCTCAGTCACTCTGTCCTGAATGTTTAGTCACTTTTACGAGTGTTCAGTTGTTTTGTGAGAAGCCTGACAATTATACATGGTATGTTATTTTATATTAACCATTGTGTTTAAATAGTGCCAAAAATGCCAAACCATAAAAACTGGCCAATTTAATTGACAGTCCAGAAATCCTCATCATGGGCCCTTTTCTCATGCCGTTACCATTTTATGGCAGCTGACTTGGTATTTCAATCACCAGCAGTGAATGATTTTATTTACTTGTTTATTTATTGAAATACTTTATTTCCCTCTTTGGGGGATTATAAGCCAAGTCCTTAGCTTTCCCTCCCTTTGTTTTTCTTTCCTTCATTTTTTTGTCTTCAAATACACATTTCTCAAGAGACTGTCTTTCACTGTGGAACAATACTTTCATGTACAGAATCTAGCCGGTATGAAAAGACAACGTGTTTGCTTCATTTAAGCAGTCCTGTCATATCATACGTCTTTATGATGCTGTTTTTCACAGAGTCACAATGATTGGCTGGTGCATCATAGTTGCATTGCTTTCATGGGACAAAGTGAACCCACAACTGAATTTGGGAAGGTGGCAAGCAGTGTCCTGTGGTGTGATATGCTATAATTAATCTAAAACCATTTCAAACAGCATTATTCTAATGATTTTACATTACGCATGCAGTTTATGACCACATTCTCTATATGGAACTGTATTTTTTATTCATTTGTCACACCACAGTACTGTAAAAAGGAAAAAAAGCTCCCATCTAGTCACATCTGGTTTAGGTTGCCGTTTATTTGCCAATAAAACAGCGCTGCTCCACATATGATGTCAGTTAATCAAAAATTACAATGGTTACAGTGCAGGAACCGAGTGTGCTAATGACATTTGAGGCTAATTAATCAAAGTAAATGTGTGTTTGGATGTCAGTGCTGGCAATTCACCAAGGCCAACACTGTGTCTGATGACTGTTGTGTGGCTCGGCTCTGCGTTTTTTTTTGTTTTTTTTTATGTTTATTCTGACCATAATTCACCATGATGATGACTGCAGATCATTAGATTCTGTGTGCTCAGCTACACCGCTCCGGCTTGCAAACTCATCTAAAATGATTACGATAAATGTATATATATTTTCATCTGAATAAAGCTGTCAATTGTATTACCATCGAATTACCATTCTCAGAAGTTCAAAAAGTTGTCATATTAACAACATTTATAATGTTACAAAAGATTCCATTTAAAAAAAGTGCCATTCTTTTGAACTTTCTATTCATCAATGAATCCTGAAAAAAGTTTCCATCACAATATTAAGCAGCACAACATTAATAATAAGAAGCAATGTTTCTTGAGCACTGGAGTAATGACTGCTGAAAATTCAGCTTTGCCATCACAGGAATAAATTACATTTTAAAAAACAGCAATTATATTTATAGTTATTTTAAACAGAAATAATATTTCATAACATTACTGCTTTTACTGTATTGTTAATCAAATAAATACAGCTTTGGTGAGCATAAGAAAATAAAAAAAGCATAACAAGTCATCTTACTGACCCTGAACCTTTGAAAAGCAGTGTATATGCTAAAAATATAAATAAATAATATAATAATAATTGATGACTCATTCTGAACTACATAGACTCAAATCTCTCTATGATGAGACTATCCCTCACCCTAATGCGAAATGCAACCAACTACCAAGTAGCAAATCATGATTCATGTCTGACGTAACTGGCTATTGGTTTTAGAAGAAAAAAGAAGAAAAAAAAACTAAATCCCTTCAGTAAGGCCCACCCAAACTTTCTGTTTCAATAGGAAACACTACAACACAGGAAAGAAAACAACATTAGAAAACGACATTGGAATGTCTGTGTCAAGTATTTCAAATCAATATTATCAACGTTTTCAGACAGCTCTTTGAGCGTAGCTTATTGTATATGTTTGTGTGCGTGTGAATACGAGGAAAATGTGAATCACTCTCCTATGCAGGAATGCAACCCTGGGGTCGTCTCTTGACTTAGTCCTCTATCTCTCATCCTTTTGCTCTTTTCAGCTCAGAGAAAGAGATAAAATACAAATAAGAAGTGGAGAGAAGGAAGGACTAAAGTTGCACGGTAATGAGTTGCTGAGAACAAGATCAACAAGCTAAAACAGGAATGAGAGGAAGGAGGAGGAAGGCCTGAGGAGGAAACTACTGGAGGAAGCCAGGACCTTGAAGTCTTGGGATGAGCACTCACCTTTTCTCTCTCAGCCTTTAGTTAAACCTGCCGGAAATCTTACTGCCCCTAACAAACTGGCTGAATCATGCTATGTCTGAGTGTGCAAATCAGCAATGTGGGTTGTTGTTGACGGAGATGATAGCATAACATAGCGTTTCCTTCATCTGGACTGGCACCAGTCTCACGCTGCCAACACACTCCACCACAATAAAGAAGATAAATGAAGACTGTCATTATGTCCCTGTCATCTGTCTCTGGCAAAACAGCGAGCCCAATTACATCGTGAGATTACAAACGCTGCCTGTTTTACACACAGCTAATTTATGTTCATCTGTCTCCTTCTTGGATCCTGCAGGGGTGCCCTTAATATGACGCTCTGTCTCTTACCCGCTCTCACTCCCTCCAAATACGGAAATATTATGGATGTGGCAAACGTGGAACTGCCAAGCCTGCCAGCACACATCAATTACTTTCCTCACAATCCCACCTAATGAGAGACTTTCAAACTGAAACGAACTTCGTAATAAATAACACAATTGATATGAATGCCATTACTGGAGTGATCGGCACTGGTGAGGCGTTTTCTCTGATTTTGTGTAATTTCTCCATAGCGATTCAGAAGCTGAAACTAAAATCGCACAGCAAGATATATTACAGATGGTGCCTCCCTTAATTAGCTACATCTACTCAATCAAAGCATTGAACATGCCTCTTGTCTGCGAATTAAACACTGTAAAATAAGCCACATCATATAGATATACATAAATTACTAGTTTTATATATACAAATACAAATACATACAAATAATAAAAAATATTAAGCAGCAACATTTAATTTCACATTGATAATAAATGTTTCTTGAGCACCAAATCAGCATATGAGGATAATTTCTGAAATATCTTGTGACACTAAGACTGGAGTACCGGCAGCTGAAAATTTAGCTTTGCCATCAATTGAATATATATATATATATATATATATATATATATACATACACATATATATATATTGTAATACAATAAAATAGAAACTTTTTTAAATTGTAATAATATCTCAATAATAAATGCAGACTTGTTGAGCATGAGAGACTCTTTCAAAATAATAATAAAAAAATCTGATCAACCCCAAACCTTTCAGTGGTATTATACAGAAGCAGTATGAACTGTATGGAGACTAATGCACATTTACCATGTTTTACCATGGTCATTTGCCAAGAAATGCTGTAGACTCATATTAAATAAACAGCAACGCCTACTATTTATCATAAGACATATCACAGTATCAGACCATAGCTTTTTACTACATACAGACCATAATTTATCTACCTTCTACAGTCATTTTAAAAACACCACAGTTAGACATTATGCAAGACCTGTGGTAAATTATCATAAAACAACTCTGAATGGAAACAGTAGGCCTACTTCATGTTCATGTTTCTGGTCGTATTAGCTTCAAGTACTGGATCAAACAACCTTCATACTTTCTGTCATTTCCTGGAGGAGAGGGTAATCTATTTTTGCAGTGATAGCATGATTAGCATTGCTCTTTGAGGATGACTGCGCTGTGTTGCAGGCTGGCGAACAGGGGGAACTCCCACCACAACAAGGTTAGCACAGTGACTCAGCATCTGGTTTGTTTAAGAATCATCTACGAGTTTTTCACATGGCTGCTGGTTAGCATTATTGCAATTAGCTTTCATGCTTGACCATTCTAAAGCTAAGGAATTTATAAGCCTATCTGATTAGACGCATTCAAATGTCATTATCTATTTTGTATCATAACATTTTGTTAGGGAAAGCTACATTTTTAGTTTATTTATGTAATATCTGATGCCAGTCTGACTTTATTTTCATATAGTCTATGAAAGAAAAAAAGATCATATTCAAAACTGTCTTCAATGTAAGTACCACCATGAGTGCTAGGCAGAACTGTAGCTAGGTAATGGTTCATGAAGGGAAGATGTCATTGCACTGTTTTATTCATATCTTTGTCACCTTGGATTTACCCCCCAAAATTTAAGCGCCAAAAACAGCACTTGCATTTGTCTGTAAATGCATTGCAAGATATGCAAAGGATGTGAGCTGTTGAGACAATCAGCTATGGGAGATTTTTTACACCATAATTAGCATGAACAGGAATGTGCAAATTAAAGATTAACAGGGCTCCAAACTGCGACTAAATGGTTGCATTTTTGCAACGTATTTTTCTGTAAGTTTTGTTAGATGTTGCAAGTTGCTTAACTTTCTTTGATTATGTGCTTTGCGCATAAGAGAAATCAAATGGCACACTCTTCAAAAGCGGAAAGAAAGAGTGCTAACTTTCTGAACCATGTAGCATGGAACATTTATCAGTTCGACCCAACAGACGGCACAGCGCAAGCATTTACAGTACTTGCAGATCGA